TCTTTGCCGATCTCGGGATCCAGTGATCAGAATCACATGATCTTGTGCTCTTTAGAACCGGCTCAGTGAGCTGAATCAATGGTGGTTGTTTTATCCAAATTGGTCCGGTAAATCAAAAGTTATGGTCAAAAATGTGTAAAACTCTTAATGTCAACAATACCTTCAGTAACTCTGAAGAATTGAATTATATTTTTATGCATCGAACATTCTTTCATGATACGGATCTATAAATTTAATTGGTAATTATAATTCTAAATCTTTTAAAGGGCACAAGATGATTAGAGATATTATCAGCTCATTCGGCTCTACTCATTAATCAGTTTTTATTATAATACAAGCCGATAGCATCTCTAAAAATAATTCGTATTTCATTAATAACATCCTGAACAGGGATATTAGCACTTGGCATCTTCAAAACAAAAATTTTTTTTTCTTTTTTTGAATAACACTTATATATATTGCCAACTGCTCCAGAACCAATTCTACACCCTCTCTCAAATCCATATTCACCAAAATCTAACATAACCTCTTTCAATATTTTCAACTGATTATGAACTCCTCCCATATTTACTTTTCGATTTATTTTTTACTTGAAGATGCTAGTTATTATAAATGAATACAGAAGAAATATGCACGTATTATATGTATATATTTGATATGTTGTGTCTCTTTCTAGAATTGCATTTGATGTTATACCACTTGAAGTTGTGACATATCAGTAACGGTAATGTAAATTTTGTAATACTGGTTGACTCACGATAATCCAAAGTCTCTAGATTTTTATATTATACATTATCAAATTAGGAAAAATTCGGATAATCGAATATTCAGATATTTATATATTAACTGTAATATATAAAATCTAATACATGGTTATCTGAATTTTTGATCATCTGAATTGTACAGTATACAAAATTTTGGAAAGTCAAAAATTCGGATGACCATGTATTAGAATTTATTGTTATATAACATGGTCATCCAAATCTTTGATCTTTCGAAGTTTTATATAAATTTGTACAAAACTTCGGATGACAATGACTAATATGATCATCCAAAGTTTTGTAATACAGTTCGGTAAAATAAACTGTTTGTGAAATAAGTTGTTTGTAAAGTAAACCTGTTGCCAAATTGATTATAGGTAAAGTGTTGTGTTGACAAAGCAAGTATTAGTAGAGTAATTGAAACTGAGTAATAATATTATCTTAATTTTATAATTTTATTTTAATTTGCTTATTACATAATTTAAAAAATATTTAGATTTGCTATTTGTTAATTTTACTATATAATCTAGTTATAATCTAAATTATAGAATATTTTTTTCTTAATTTAAAACTATTTAAATTTTGCCAATTTGTTAATTTTACTATATATAGCTTAATTATAAATCTTATTATATGCTTTATTTAATTCATATTTAAAATATAAATATTTATATAAATAAGTTATCTTCATTATTATTTAAATAACTTAAAAATAAACTTATTCAAATTGTAAAGCTTGTTTTTTCATATAATGATTTAACTGATTCAATTTCTAATTGAGATATTTCTAAATTATTTGGTGGATGTTTTAAAAAAAATAAAACTTTGTTAAAGGCTTTAAGAATATCTTGATTAAAATTATTATAGATTAATTCTTCATCATCATAAATTGTTGAAATATCATCATCATCTTGAATTGTCAAAATTTTTTCATTATTTAAAATTTTAGATAATTCCTTTTATTTGATAGCATTATTTAAAGATATTTGTTCTATAATATCATTTTCTAGCATTTCTTCAATACTTATGTTTTTATCTTGATCAAAATATTCTAAATTAAATTAAAAAGTTATTATACTATTTATCACTATTATAATTAAATTAAAATTCAAAATTAGTATAATATAAAAAAAAAATAAATTTTTATAACAAATTTTTTAAATTATTATATTGCGCTATTATTTTAATCTAAACTATTATTTTTTATAAAATATTTGTCAGATTTTATATTATACTATTAATAAATTTTAACTTATAATTATATTTTAATATA